CGATTGTTACAATCTCCATTATTTCGGTTGTTATTACGATTGTTCCCAACCCTCCTGCGTTGGGTTCTCGTTTTGAATAGAGCACTGCGGTCTCCACCTTCCTTCCTTCCTTCCTTCCCGCCTCCTCCTTCTATCTTCCCTCTTCATCTCCTCTCGTGCTTCCCTTCTCCGCCTCTCTTCGCTCGTCCTCTTCTCGCTTGCATTTTACCTACCTAGCTTGCCGCTCGCCATCCCTGGGGAGCGGCGATCTGTGAAACTGTCGCCACTTTCGAGGCCTGCTGGGGGGCCCAGCGGAGTGACGCCCTACGGGGATTCAGATTAGACCTCGCCATCCCTGGGGGGCTGCGATCTGTGAAACTGTCGCCACTTTCGAGGCTGCTGGGGGGCCCAGCGGAGTGACGCCCTACGGGGATTCAGATTAGACCTCGCCATCCCTGGGGGGCTGCGATCTGTGAAACTGTCGCCACTTTCGAGGGCTGCTGGGGGGCCCAGCGGAGTGACGCCCTACGGGGATTCAGATTAGACCTCGCCATCCCTGGGGGGCTGCGATCTGTGAAACTGTCGCCACTTTCGAGGGCTGCTGGGGGGCCCAGCGGAGTGACGCCCTACGGGGATTCAGATTAGACCTCGCCATTCCTGGGGGGCTGCGATCTGTGAAACTGTCGCCACTTTCGAGGGCTGCTGGGGGGCCCAGCGGAGTGACGCCCTACGGGGATTCAGATTAGACCTCGCCATCCCTGGGGGGCTGCGATCTGTGAAACTGTCGCCACTTTCGAAGGCTGCATGGGGGGCCCAGCGGAGCGACGCCCTACGGGGATTCAGATTAGACCTCGCCATCCCTGGGGGGCGGCGATCTGTGAAACTGTCGCCACTTTCGAAGGCTGCTTGGGGGGCAAGCTGAGTGACGTCCTACGGGGACTCAGATTAGACCTCGCCATCCCTGGGGGGCTGCGATCTGTGAAACTGTCGCCACTTTCGAGGGCTGCTGTGGGGCCCAGGGAACTGCCGCCACTTTCGAGGGCTGCTGCAGGTCCAGCATAGTGACGTCCTACGCGGACGCAGATTGGACCCGTCATTCTACTTCGATTATCCTGCATCTGCGATCGACTGTATGTGTGCGAGGAACTAGACATGGAGTGGTCTGGCACTGACTGACGTCAAATCGTTGTGTGCCAGTGTCTCCTGGGGTGTTGCCTGATGTGGATGCAGCTCGTCGGCGCTGCGACTCGAGCTGGCGGTCGTCCTTCGGACCCGCAGAAACATCTGCTGAGCTCGATGAGCTAGGGGAGCTACAGAAAAGAAGTGCAGGAAACGGAGGCCTGTCATGCACTCGCCGGTACCTCGTTGCTCTGTCATCGTCTTTGCTGCTGCATGATCCTTATCTGGCCTGCCGGCGCCGCGGCTCGAGCTGGCGGTCGCCCTTCGGGCCCGCGGGAACATCTTCTGAGACAAGTGGACGCCGCCGCCTTACTTGCAGGCAGCGCATTGCATTCGCGGACAGCAGCATGGCAGACCGCAGTGAGATCCTCAGTCGCGCGGCGTTGCCAAGCCTGGTGGAGACGCGCGCGATCGACCTGAAGTCCCAATCGCGCGTGCGCTGTACCTGCGTGGCGTTCAGGCACGCGCGTGATGCTGCTCTCTCCGCGTTCAACCAGTACGTCGCCAGTGCAACTTTGGACGATGGACAACCGATTGATGATGCGCGACCCCGGCCTTGAGTTTCTTCCCCGCGGGCCGCCCGCAGACCTGGCGGCGCGCCTGCGAGCGTTCAGCTCCCGCGCTGAAATGTGCGGGAAGGAGGCGGAGAAGCTAGCGGGCGAGCTACGCCTCGCTCGTTCCTTGCGCTCTAAACAAGTTTTGTCATATGGAACTTTGCGACGACATGGCGCAGGCAGCGCTGCGGGTTTAGCTCGCGTTTGAAAAACGCGGCAGTCTTCTGTCTCCCCCCGCCACTTTCATCGTCGTCCTATTCCCCACCTTACCTTCTCCACGCATGCTGCTGCTTCCGCGATGGCCTTTTCGCCCCCCCCGCCCTCCATTCCATCCCTCTCCTACCCCTCGTTCCCGTGCCCGTTCTTCTTCGATCCTGGGGCCTCAATCCTCGTTCTTTCGATCGTCGTCTTGTGAATCGTGCAGCGCATGCGCATCCCATGTAGCTTGCACAGCAAATCGCCGCGTTCACACTGTCGTTGTTCCTGCGAATGTTGGCATAGTCCTCTTGCCATTTGATGCACGTGGGTTGGGTACGTCGCAGGGTAAGTTTTATTACTACCACGACGACTACCACTACCACTCTTATTACTTTTACGTCCAAAACAATTATTACGACGACTACCATTGCTACCTCTACTACGACTACGATTTTATTAGTACGACTACCACTGCTTCCACTACTACTACTACTACTACTACTACTACTACTACTCCGACGACTACTACTTCTGCTACTACTACTATTTCGATTGTTATTGCTACTACTACTACTACTACTACTACTACTACTACTACTACTACTACTACTACTACTACTACCACCACCACTACTACTACTACTACGACTATTACCACTACTACTACTACTACTACTACTACTACTACTACTACTACTGCTGCTGCTATTACTATTACTACTTCTGCTACTACTACTACTACTACTACTACTACTAGTACTACTACCACGACTACTACCCCGATTATCATTACTACTAGTACTACTACCGCCACCATGGCTACCATTATCTTTATTAGCAGTTATCCAATTTCCAGTAGTAGTACTACTAATACTACTACTACTACTACTACTACTACTTGTACTACTACTACTACTACTACTACTACTACTACTACTACTACTACTAGTACTACTACTACTACGACTACTACGTCTATCACTACTACTACCGCTGCTACTACTACTACTACTACTACTACTACTACTACTACTACTACTTATGCTGCTGCTGCGACTGCTACTATTACTACTACTACGAATAGTAATAATAATGATTATCAGTATTACTACTACTACTACTACTAGCACTTCGACCACTGCTATTACTACTACGCTGCTACTGCTACTACTACTACTACTACTACTAACACTACGACCACTGCTATTACTACTACTACTACTACTACCACCACTACCACTATACTGCCACTACCAGTACCACCACTATTACTACGACTACTACTGCTACTTCTACGATTACTACTAATACTAGTACTACTACTACTACTACTACTACTACTATTTCGTACTTCTACTACGACTACTACTACTACTCCTATTACTACGACGACTACTACTACTACTACTATTATTACTACTACTACTACTACCACTACTACTACGACTACTACTACTACTACCTACTACTAACTACTAACTAGTAAATAGCAGTGACTTCTTTACTTCTAGTACTACTATTAATTATTACTACTACTACTACTATCAACGAGTACGACTAGTTGCTACGACCTCCACATCTGTCAGCATTCCAAGGAGTTCCGCAGGAATCCTGAGGAGGCCTTCGAACCCGAAGGAACATCATACATACCTCAGCTCCCATGTGCAAGCGTTGCCCATCGGATTGTTTTGGGAATATCCTGGAATGTTTCTTCCGGCATCCCTGGTTGGAGTCTTTGGATCCAGTGGATCCAGAGGGCTTTCTGGCTCCGCGACCGCAGGCACCCCTGAGGAATCCGTATGAATCGCTCGTATATCCCGAGAATTTTCGGAGTGTTGACGATTTTTGTGGATCTTGATAAAATCCATGGCATTCCATTGGTCCTTCGGACTATGGGTATTCCAGTGGTTCTCGGGATCCGGAGCATTTAGGGACTCTTTGGGAAGCTTTGGGGAATCCAGCGGATAGGTCTCTCGTTCGACCCGGAGTTTGAGAATCCCGAGGTCCCAAGGAATCCTGAGGAATTATGAGGAATCCTTGGAAATCTTGCGGAATCTTTCGGGATCGTTGGGAATTCTTTGTTGGACCTTTGAGGAAATCCTTGTGGACCTTTTTGGGGATCCGTACAAATCCTTATTTGAATCCTGAGAATAGTTGCGGAACCTCTGGAAATCATCATGGCCCAGAGCCTTCGAGTCCTGAGGTGTCCTTCAGAATCTCCTGGGAATTCTGAGGATTTCCTGAGCGAAATTTCTCGGGATCCTTGGGAAATCTGAAATCCCTTGGGGCCCTTAGGAATCCTTCGGCATCCAAAGAAACCCTCTCGAAGCATTCGGGAACCCTCGGGAATCTGGAGGAACCCTTAGGAACCCTTAGGGATCCTTAGGAATCCAACGGCGGGGTCCTGAGGAATCCTGAAGAATCCCGAGGAACTTTTAAGATTCTCAACAAATATTACGGATTGCTGAGGATTCCGGACGAAGCGTAAGGGCCCCGGGAATCCAGAGAATTCCGACAGATTCTTTCAATTTGTGTTGAGGAAAATTCAGATTCCCAACGAATCCTCGTTCATCCTGCGGTCCCTACGGAATCCGGAAGACTGTGCGGAATCCTGAGATCCCGAACAGATCCGGTCGAGGGATCACGGTCACGGTTGGGGTCAAGCACGTGCGTTATGCAAAGATCACGGTCGAGGTGGCGAGCCGTCGGCGATGTGCAAAATATCGGAGTTCTTAGGCTCGTCTTGCATCCAGAAGCGCTCTACTGTGATATCTCTTTTGATCGATACCTTGTTCAAGCGTCCCCGAAACGTCGCAACCGCCTCCGACCGATCGCAATTGGTTGCGATCGGTTCGAAGTGGTCGACGATCGGTCCGAAACGGTTGCGATCGGTCGCGGTTGCTCGGGTTCCGTGGGCCAACAAGGGAGCCTTTCGCTGTGGGACGTGGGCCTTTGTTCGAGGCCTGGATATCGGCAGGGTTTGCCAGCAGAGTGGCGGAGGCGGGGGGAGGGGCCACAAGGGGAAAGGGGAAGGAAGGAACGAGAAGGCGAATGGAAGAGGAGCAAGGAGAGATGACCCATTGGTGCCGCAAGCCGTGGCGTGAGGTCTGGATGAATATTAGTCTTCTCGTGTACGCCATGATGCTTCACATCGCACGCATCATCACTCATCATTGGCTCAAGTGCCACAATTCGCGGCCATCGGTTGTGCGGGTGCCCACTCAGAGTGAGCTGAGAACATACCGCTTGAACCTGATCAGGTTAGGACCTGCGCAGGGAACAACCACCGCATCTCACTCATCTCTCGCTCGTATCACCATAGTGTGTCCGTCTCTCTGGGCAAACATGGCTCCTCGTTGCGCGGTCGTCGCCGTCAGTGCTTTGGTCATCGCCGCGCCAGCCGCTGTCCTGGGATCTCAGCCCCCTGAGTGTAAGCGCTTCGATGAGATTTATGCCAGCGGCAAAGAGCTCTGCGAGAACATGTGGAACGACGCCTTTACCTATGAAGAAGACGAGGCCAAGGCCTACACGATGTGGTTCTATGACGCAGAGAATCCCAACGATGCGACCTCTGAGAGCCTGGGCCTTCTGACGGGCGACCACGAAGTGTGCCACCTGGACTACTTCCACAAGGACACTCCGGGGCCTGAGCCCGATGGCTTCAGCGAGTGTCACCCTTGGAAGGACAATGCCTGCTGCAGCCATGACACCGTCATGAGTGCCACGACGCTCAAGGAGGCCTACGGCCAGGAGTTCCACTGGGACCGCTGCGGCCCGCTGAGCCCGGAGTGTGAGCGCTTCTTCGTTCAGGAGGCGTGTTTCTACGAGTGCGATCCGAACGCCGGGCTCTTCCGGAAGTGGAACTCGACCGAGTACGACCCCAGGTGCGATGCCTACGCTGAGGGGTACGACGAGGCCTTCGCGACGGCCCAGGGTTGTGACCACAACACGTGGCAGATGCACAAGATGCCGATCAAGGCTTCGTACTGCGACGCGTGGCTCACGGCCTGCGCAAAGGACAGGTTCTGCGCGACGGGTGGCGGTGACTTCTTCAGCTGCGCGGCGCACTACGAGGCCTCCGACGCCAGCGCGGCCGAGATCGCTCGCCTGGAGGCGGACTTGGAGCAGAGCTCGGGGCTGGGTGCCGGCATCGTTGCCGTCATCTCTGCGCTGGCAGTCTTCGCCGCTCTCGGGGTGTCGGGCGCGTGCTGGCTGGTCCACCGTGAGAAGAAGGGGCGGCCCGTGTTCGGGGAGCTGCGGGAGCCGAGCGTGCCGGCCGCCAGCGACGGCACGACCATCGGCAATTCCGCTTGAGCAGGTGGGCCGCAGAGACATGTAAATACAGAATGATTGGACCGAAGGCGCCTGCGGCGGCGGACAACCGCTGCCCCCTTCTGCCCCCTGGAAACGCCTGCGTGGCCACGCGTTGTGGACACGCTCGGGGGAACAGTTGGGGAGAGACAGAGATGGAGAGAGAGAGGACGAGGACGAGGGCGAGGGCGAGGACGGGGAGAGGGAGGTGGAGGCGGAGGAGGAGGAGGCCTCTTGGAGGCCTCTTGGGCCTCCTGTCCTGGGGTGCTTCCTTCGGGCCCCGTGAGGGTATCTGAGAGCCTCTTGGCGGCCTCTCAAGGGGCTGTGGATGCTTCCCGGCCGTATTGGAGGTCTTTGTGGCCCTCGTGGGGCCGTCTTGGGGTCTTCTTGTGCAGTCTTAGGCCTTCTTGACCCCCTCTTGGGGGCTCCTGGGGCCGCTTGGCAGTGCTTGGCATCGCTTGACACTGCTTGGCATTGCTTGGCACTGCTTGGTATTGCTTGGCATTGCTTGGCATTGCTTGGCATTGCTTGACATTGCTTGGCATTGCTTGGCATTGCTTTGCATTGCTTGACTTTGCTTGACTTTGCTTTGCATGTTGTGGCATTGCTTGGCATTGCTCCGCATGAGGTACCGAGGGCGGGGAACCCGAGGAACCCGAAGAACCTCCGAGCAACGAGCAAAGTAACAGTAGGAGGCACCAACCTTTCACCAAGTCAGAACCCCCTAGGCAAGCCTAGTTGGGAAAACAGGAGAGGGCTCGAATCCTTGACTCACCTAAGGAAAACCAATGATTTGGGCATATTCAGAACCGCCTGGAGGGCCTAGTGGAGCCATGCTAGGCCGTCTCGCGAGCCTCTTGAGCCGTCCTGGACTGTCTTGGGGTCATATTGGGCCGTTTCGGCGTCATATTGAGGCCATCTTGGCATCTTGGTGCCACCATCTCGGAGGCGTCGTGGGACGTCTTGGAGGCCATGTTTGGCCATTCTGGAGGCGAGTTGCATTGACTTTGTGGTCTTTCCGGGTTGCTGGCATGCTGAGCCAGAAACCTTTTGGAAGGGCCCGAAGGGGAAGTACACATTAGGCCCGCTGCGCACCCTTTTGCAAGCAGAAGGGGATCGCGGATCGAAGACGCCGACGGCCAATCACAGCCGCCCCCTGCCTTTTGGAAACGCACACGCGGCTAAACGTTGGGCCGAAGCTTGGCGACGCTATTATAACATGTGTTTCCCTAGCCGGTGTGGAACCCCTTGGGGGGGAACATTGAGGAGAGTAAGAGAAAGGAGGATGAGGAGACGGAGGAGGAGGAGGACGAGGAGGAGGAGGAAGAAGAGGAGGCCGTCTCGAGGCCTTCTTGATGCCTCCTGGAACTTCTTGGTGGCCTCTGAGAGGCCTCTTGGGGGCCTCACTGGGGCCGCAGAGGGGCCTTCTGAAGCCTTTGGAGCTTCTTGGAGGTCTCTGACGGGCCTTTGGCGTTCGGAGGCCGTCTTGGGGCCCTCTCTGGGCAGTCGTGGGTCCCTCTTTCTCGGCGCTTGAGGGCAATCGTGGAGGTCGATGGGGCCTTCTTGCTTGGGGGCCTCTTGGGGGCTCTCTTGGGCCGTCTTGTGTGCCTCTTGGGGGTCTCTTGGGCCGTCTTGCGGCGATCTTGGGGGCCTATGGGGCTGAGCGTCGGGAGATCGAAAAGGCGAGCACGCGAACATGGTCGGGAAACCTGTCTGGAAAATCAATGATGTTGTCCTCTTGGAGCACTCTTGGGGCGTCTCGGGGGCCTCTTGGGCCGTCTGGAGGGCTTCTTCGGCCGTCTTGAAGGCGTCTTGGGATCATCTTGGGCTCCGTTGGGGCAATCTTTGCCATCTTGGAGGCCATCTTGGAACAATATTGGCCGTCTTGGAGGCGAGTTTTCTGGTGTTTCCCCTACGTGCGCGTCCTTGCGCGCCCTTGCGCGCCGTTGCGCGTCATTGCCCGCCTTTGCGCGTCCTTCTGGGTGGCCTGCGGGTTGGGCCGAAGGCCTGTTAGAAACCTTCAAGACGGACCAACAATTTCCTAGCATTTGGCACGCCGGGCACCCCTGTGGCAAGCCAACAGGGGGCGGCGGATCCAGTGGCTCTCGGCCCATCTCGCCACCGTGCCTGGGTCGTGCACCAGAAGCTTCTCGAAGGCCTCTTGAGCGCTCCTGTTGAGAGTCTCCTGAGGCCTCCTGGGTCGCCGGAGGCCTTGGGGGCATCTTCTGGAGGAGGCGTCCGGGGGCTCCTTCGAGTTCCACCTCGTTGTGCCCTTCTCGGGGGCTCAGGGGCTGTCTTGGGAATGCTGGGCAGACCGAGAGAAGGCGAGGCCACGAAAGTCACAAGATTCCACGCAGTACTTTGCCTGACAGGCTTGGTCTCTCCGGCGGGCTCCCAGAGTCTCCAAGATGGGTTTTTGTGGCGATCCTGGAGCATGTTGAATGAATCATAGCAGCGCAAGGAAGAGCTTGCACAACAAGCGTACAGTGCCGGTTTGAATACATGCTCCGCGTGCGGATCATGTATTAACAATGCAGGGTTTAGTATTAAAAGCAACGATGAGTTCATGCATATTATATGTATTCATAAATTGATCATGTATTAAAAAAATCATATATTATTAAAAATCCCATGTATTAAAAATTGCCTTGCATGCCTAAGGAGATCCATCTGCACTTCCGAGGCTTTGGGAGACGCCGTGCGGAGAGCCCCGGGAGCGGAGGTCGCCGGGACGTCATGCGTCCAGCACCCCTCTACCAGCATTTGCTTTCGACACTCGGGGGTGGACAGACCTCCTACCCTGACACGTCGATTAAGGAATTGGCCGTTTTCGGCGGTTCGCAAGAGGGCGTCGCGGCCGTCATTTTTGCGGGTCCAGGTCCGTCGGTTTCTGCCCCAGGCCGTTTTCACTAAGGGAGGTTTACTAAAGGGAGGTTTGTCCTCCGCCGAGACACTCAGAATCAAGGTTTGTTCGAGGTTTCGAAACATTCTGTTCAGTGCAAGCGGCACGGCGGCGGATTTGGCTGGACTTGCGGGGCTTGGCTTGGAGAGCCACGTTGTTCGTTTCGACCCCCCCCAGCACAGTTGTGGCTCCACCACTGACGGCTGCTCTTTCATCTTAGGGGCCATGTCTCTTTCAAGTTTCCATTTCCGTTGCATCGAAGTGGGTGATTGACACGTCCGCGCACGCACCCCTCTTCCACGACCAACAAAGTGTTCGAGATGCGCTCGCTGTTTAGAGAGCGTGCCACAGTAGAGCGTGCCGTGTGGGCCAAGGCCTGAGCAGCAATGATTGGAGTCATGGACGCCCCGCAAATCCCCATCAGCCCACCCAGAAACGATTCCCGGGCAAGCTCTCGATGGAAGGGAGGCGGAGGATGGATCAGCAGCGGAGCAAGTTAAGCAGAGGATCTTCGCGGGCTGCGCAGGGAGACGAGAGGGCGCGCGCGATCGGGCGCGAGGGGGACGAGGAGGAGAGAGGAGGGATCACTGACCAATCTGCCAGGGCCGCCATTTGGCAGCCCTTCGGGGGTGACGCAGGCGCTGTCACATGGGAGCACCCTTCGCCTGGGGACAGCCCCATGTCGTAGCCTCTTACCGAGAATTGACGGCCAGGTGAGCCCCTTGAGCTGCGTTCGCATGCCGCACCCCCCCTCAATTTGGTTGACCCTTCACACGCCGAGTGGCCCCATTGGGAGCTCCAACGAAGGCGCCAGTGGCTGCGTTCGCATGCCGCCCCCCCGCTTCGGCACAACCCTCACACGGTTCATGGCCCCATGGGAAGTTCCATTGAAAGCGTCAGTGGTTGCGTTCGCATGCCGCCTCCCCTCTGCATTTTGACACACCGTTCACACGCTTCGTGGCCCCATGGGGAGCTCCACCGAAGGCCACCGTGGCTGCGTTCGCATGCCGCGCCCCCCCCCCTTGGCACACCCCTCACACGCTTCGTGGCACAATGCAGAGCTCCACTGAAAGCCCCAGTGACAGCGCTAGCATACTGCCACCCCTTTCACTTTGGCACACCCTTCACACGCTTCGTGGCCCCAGAGGAAGCTTCACCGGAGGCCTGGCTGCGTTCGCATGCCGCGCGTGCATGTCTTCTCCAGTTTCTCCCGGTGCTTGTCAGCCGCACCAAGTTACATCAGCTTGTACCATGTTTCGTGTGACCTCCGCGCCCCCTGCGGGTGGCCCCTGCGGAAGCGCCCGCAGGGCGGCCCCGCCTCATTTCCGCATTCCCTTGGTGCGTCTCATGGCCCCGTAGCGAGTTCCACCGAAGGTTGTTCGTCACATATGGTTGGGTGCTTCGTTTGGATAATGCTTTACTTATTACTGCTCGTGCCAGTATGTTCACCACTCCCATCATATCTGCTTGATCCAGTACCTCTCGCATCGTTGCCCCCGTCACGACTAATATTGTTAGTGTTACTACTACTTCTACTTATACTTCTACTACTACTACTACTACTACTACTACTACTACCTACTACTACTACTACTACTACTACTACTACTACTACTACCTAATACTACTACTACTACTACTACTACTACTACTACTACTACTACTACTACTACCTAATACTACCTACTACTACCTACTACTACGATGACGACCACTAATACTATTACCATTGCTACTGCTACTTCTAGTACGAGTGCTACTACTACTACTACTACTACTACTATTACTACTACTACTACTACTACTACTACTACTACTACGATTACTACTACTACTATTGCGACTACTACTGGTACTGCTACTACTACTACTATCACTACTACTACCCCTACTACTACTACTTCTACGACCACTACTACTACTGCTACTGCTACTACTACTACTACTACGACGACTACTACTAATACTAATACTACTACTATTACTACTACTACTACTACGACTACTACTACTACTACTACTACTACTACTACTACTACTACTACACTACTACTACTACTACTACTACTACTACCACTACTACTACTACTACTACTATTACTTCTACTTCTACTTCTACTATTACTACTAACGCTATGTAGCTATTTACTACGAGTACTATTATTACTACGACTACTACTATCATGGCTACGACTTCCACTACTACTACCACTACGAGTACCACTATGACTACTCCCACCGCTACGAGTACTACCGCTACGACTACTACCGCGATTTATCATAGTATTTGCAAAACTACTACTAGTATTCCTATTGCTACTAGTACTACTATTACTACCGGTACCACTACTACTACTTAGCTGACGATTCTTACAGCTACCACCACTGCAAGTGCGACTACTACTTCTACGCCTACTGCTGCTACTACTAGCACTACCAGTATTATGTCCACACAGACGCTTACGAGTACTACAACCGCTCATGCGACGTTAATTCGTACTACGACCACCACTACTGCGACTACTATCACTACAGTTACGTTAGTATTACTACGGCTGCTTCTATTACGTAGCCAACTATCAGTACTACTACAACTACTAGACTACTACTCATACTACTACCCCTTCTATTACTACAACACTATTACGACTACTACTACTACTACTACTACTACTACTACTACTATTACTACTACTACTACTACTACTACTACTACTACTACTCTTAATACTATTACCAAAACGATTCTTAGTATTACGACTGTTATTATCTCCATTATTTCGGTTGTTATTACGATTGTTCCCTACCCTCCTGCGTTGGGTTCTCGTTTTGAATAGAGCACTGCGGTCTCCACCTTCCTTCCTTCCTTCCCGCCTCCTCCTCCTCTCTTCCCTCTTCCTCTCCTCTCTTGCTTCCCTTCTCCGCCTCTCTTCGCTCGTCCTCTTCTCGGGGGGGGGGGGGGGGGATGGCCTTTTAAACCTACCTCTTGCCCGCTCGCCATCCCTTTGGCGCGATCTGTGAAACTGTCCGCCACTTTCGGAAGGCCTGCTGGGGGCCCAGCGGAGGTGACGCCTCCTACGGGGATTCAGATTAGAGCCTCGCCATCCCTGGGGGCTGCGATCTGTGAAACTGTCGCCACTTTCGGGCTTGCTGGGGGGCCCACGGAGTTGAACGCCCTACGTGGATTCATATTAGACCTCGCCATCCCTGGGGGGCTGCGTCTGTGCGAAGTGTGAAAACGGTCGCCACTTTCGAGGGCTACTGGGGGGCCCAGCGGAGCGACGGCCCCCCCCCTACGGTGACTCTGATGTCTACCTCGCCATCCCTGGGGGGGCTTGCGATCGTGAAAACTGTCGCCACTTTCGAGGGCTGGCTGGGGGGCCCAGCGGAGTGACGCCCTACGGGGATTCAGATTAGACCTCGCCATTCCTGGGGGGCTGCGATCTGTGAAACTGTCGCCACTTTCGAGGGCTGTTGGGGGGCCCAGCGGAGTGACGCCCTACGGGGATTCAGATTAGACCTCGCCATCCCTGGGGGGCTGCGATCTGTGAAATTGTCGCCACTTTCGAAGGCTGCGTGGGGGGCCCAGCGGAGTGACGCCTTACGGGGATACAGATTAGACCTTGCCATCCCTGGGGGGCTGCGATCTGTGAAACTGTCGCCACTTTCGAAGGCTGCTTGGGGGGCCAGCGGAGTGACGTCCTACGGGGAGTCAGATTAGACCTCGCCGTCCCTGGGGGGCTGCGATCTGTGAAACTGTCGCCACTTTCGAGGGCTGCTGTGGGGCCCACGAAACTGTCGCCACTTTCGAAACCTGCTGCGGGGTCCAGCATAGTGACGTCCTACGCGGACGCAGATTGGACCCGTCATTATACTTCGATTGTCCTGCATCTGCGATCGACTGTATGTGTGCGAGGAACTAGACATGGAGTGGTCTGGCACTGACTGACGTCAAATCGTTGTGTGCCAGTGTCTCCTGGGGTGTTGCCTGATGTGGATGCAGCTCGTCGGCGCTACGACTCGAGCTGGCGGTCGTCCTTCGGACCCGCAGAAACATCTGCTGAGCTCGATGCGCTAGGGGAACTACAGAAAAGAAATGCAGGAAACGGAGGCCTGTCATGCACTCGCCGATACCTCGTTGCTCTGTCATCGTCTTTGCTGTTGCATGATCCTTATCTGGCCTGCCGGCGCCGCGGCTCGAGCTGGCGGTCGCCCTTCGGGCCCGCGGGAACATCTTCTGAGACAAGTGGACGCCGCCGCCTTATTGCAGGCAGCGCATTGCATTCGCGGACAGCAGCATGGCAGACCGCAGTGAGATCCTCAGTCGCGTGGTGTTGCCAAGCCTGGTGGAGACGCGCGTGATCGACCTGAAGTCCCAATCGCGCGTGCACTGTACCTGCGTGGCGTTCAGGCACGCGCGCGATGCTGCTCGCTCCGCGTTCAACCAGTACGTCGCCAGTGCAACTTTGGACGATGGGCAACCGATTGATGATACGCGACCCCGGCCTTGAGTTTCTTTCCCGCGGGCCGCCCGCAGACCTGGCGGCGCGCCTGCGAGCGCTCAGCTCCCGCGCTGAAATGTGCGGGAAGGAGGCGGAGAAGCTAGCGGGCGAGCTACGCCTCGCTCGTTCCTTGCATTCTAAACAAGTTTTATCATATGGAACTTTGCGACGACATGGCGCAGGCAGCGCTGCGGGTTTAGCTCGCGCTTGAAAAACGCGGCAGTCTTCTGTCTCCTCCCGCCACTTTCATCGTCGTCCTATTCCCCGCCTCACCTTCTCCATGCACGCTGCTGCTTCCGCGATGGCCTTTTCGCCCCCCCCGCCCTCCATTCCATCCCTCTCCTAGCCCTCGTTCCCGTACCCGTTATTCTTCGATCCTGGGGCCTCAATCCTCGTTCTTTCGATCGTCGTCCTGTGAATCGTGCAGCGCATGCGCATCCCATGTAGCTTGCACAGCAAATCGCCGCGTCTACACAGTCGTTGTTCCTGCTAATGTTGGCATAGTCCTCTTGCCATTTGATGCACGTGGGTTGGGTACGTCGCAGGGTAATTTTTTTACTGCCACGACGACTACTACTACCACTCTCATTACTTTTACGACCAAAACAGTTATTACTACGACTACCATTGCTACCTCTACTACGACTACGACTTTATTACTACTACTACCACTGCTACTACTACTACTACTACTACTACTACTACTACTACTACTACTACTACTACTACTACTACTACTACGACTACTACTTCTGCTACTACTACTACTACTACTACTACTACTACTACTACTACTACTACTACTACTATTACTACTACTACGACTACTACTACTACTACTACTACTACTACTACTAACTACTAACTATTACTAACTACTACTACTACTACTACTACTACCTACTACTACTACT